GAGACAATCAACATGCAGCTCAAATTACTTTTAACTTGCTTTTTTCATGTTGTTTTAGTATCCAAAGATTATGAAAGTGACATTTTTAACAAGCATACCTTCCAACAATAACTTTCCGAAGTTTAAAATATGGCGATAAACAAAAGAAATTGCATATGTCTCTAGGTAATACTACGGTATGTACGTATGATAGCCGTGTTTCACCTGAAAGAAAAACTTATCAAAATCCCATTGTGATGTAAAATACACACCCCTTTCTCACAGAAATTTATTTAAGGAAAAAAGTGTGTATTATATTCCGCCAAATACGGTAAACAAAACGTTCTTCATATACTTTCAGCACTGTTCAGGCTTCTTTTAGGTAATGTAACTTACATATGGCGTCATGAGACGTCAGAGTCTAGACACATCAAATGGCATGTGCAGTTTGACGAGCCCGATCTAAATTATAACAAAAGAAAATATCTGCACTCCCCATAACGGTAGCACCATCAACATATTACCCTGTTAAATATTATATTTTTACCTGGTGAGTCACCTTCTGTGGGCATTGATGGATCATAGTCCAATGAGGAATTTTCCTGCTTGATCGCAGTCTTCTCCTTCAGAACAACTTGACCATATTTTCCAAACACATTTCTTTCTTCTCCGGGCTTAATAGGAGAAGGCAAAAGTGAACCAGGTTGTTGAGGAGGCATTCCATATATACTCCCTGCATGAGTCATTTGGGGAGTAGGTCCACCTGATGGCATTCCAAATGTAGCTGATGACTGGGGAGGCAATATCTGGGGTTGTCCTGGAAAGCTTCCAGGTGCAGAAGGTGGAACATGATGTGAAGACTGGGTGGAACCTCCAAAATTTGCCATCTGTAGTGGAGGAGGTGGTCCCCCAAATGAATTTGGTGTAGCAGGGGGTCTATTAGGAACTTTTGAATTAGGCACATTGCCAAATGGTCCAGAGTTTATTTGAGGTGGCTGTGCATGGGGCTGACCAAAGGGTGCTACTTGTGGAGGGGCAGGAGGTCCTCCATAATTTTGAGCAGGAGGTTGATTCTGTGGAAAGTTTCCTGCATTTTGATGGGAAGGTTGTTGGTTATAGCCACTGAACTGAGAAGGTGAGGAAGTAGATGATTGTGGAAAATTCCCTGGTCCTTGGGGAGGTGGAGGATTTGGAGGTCCATATGTTCCAGGTACAGGAGGCCTTTGAGACTGTGGAGGAAGAGGTGCACCAAAAGAATTTGGGGGTCCAAAACGGGGAGCTTGTGAACCAGGAGGCATAGCAGGCTGTCCTTGAGAAAATATTCCAGAGTTGGGTCCAGGAGGAGGTGGACCTCCAAATCTATTTTGTTGAGCTGGAGTATTTGGATTCGGGTGCAAAAAAGAGGGATTGTCCTGTAATGTTGGAGCTTTTGAAAAAGCCACTGAATGGGGTGGTAAAGTTACATTAGGAGGTGTCTGAGGAGGACTTTGTTGGAAGTTAGGACTCTGTAGACCTGACAATATCTGTCCTGTTGGAGGTCCACTGGGATGCAACTTTGGTAATTGCCTGATTGGAGCCTGCTGTTGACCTCCATGGAATTGTAGCTGCTGCTGAGATGGAGACTGAGGAGCCTGTTGTGGAGTGGAAGGCACCTGTTGCTGAGTAGCTGGACCCCTAATTTTATTATGACTTACAGGAGGCTGCAATGGACCAGTATGAAGCACTCTCTGATTATTAGAAGAGGTTTGACTTGCTGGAGAATTATCTTGTTCTATGATTCCTGGTTTATTACCAGCATCTTTCAAAGCTCTATCATCAATTTGTCTTGGTGGGTTGCAAGTTTTTGATTCAGGTCTAGAAACTGCTTGCAAAGTCTGAGAATCCATTTTTAGATCCTTTACAGTCATCATTTTTGTATCAGGCTTACTTTCTTTTTCATCTTTCTTTTCATTTTTTTCCAAACTAGAGTTTGATTTTCCAGCTGCTGCAGCTGAAAAAAAAACAATCCCAGAATTAGCTTTCCATATTATTTTGAATTTCACAGTCCTTCTTACATATGTGTGTATACATTATTAGTATAAATTATGTATCATTTTGTAGAATCATTTCCAGACATTGTCATAGACAAACAACCCAGTGATATGTGTTGATTTCCTAACTTTTATAATCATAACTTGAATAATGTTCACAATAAAATTTGCATTATATCCATGCTAGTCTAGATTTTTTCATATTTTAGATTTTGATAAACTTGGTCTTCTTTCAGAAAATGATATGTAGCAAAAATAGATTTGAGTGCTTTTATATAAATACGAATTAACTGAAATATAACCTAGACATTGTACTAGCTAAGACCTAATATAAAAATAAGAGGAAAATACTTATCATAAGACCTAATATAAAAATAAGAGGAAAATACTTATCATATCTGCTTGTGTTTTAAATTTGCATGTTTTTATTCAAAATTTACTTGTTTTGTCAATGAGTGTCTGTAATTTAAAAGAGAGGGGGTATTAAATGTCACTGTGTTTATCTTGGCTAATTGGCTGGGATATCCCTGTAGAATTAAGATAATGAGGTGTGAACTGTGAACTACATAGTATTTTATAATTAATAACTCCACTGTAGACAAACAATCTTATAGAACAATTGATAGCACTCAAAACAATTATTTCAACACAGAAATAAATTGTCCTATTAGTTATACTTAAACATGTTAAAGGTACATTGAGTTTACATGTTCATGGCTAAGAGCTTTAATCTATTCATTTTTTTTCGAAAATAATTAAAGCACAGGGATCATGTATATATGTGCACTGCCAACATGCGGAATGTCCAAATACTTATAAATCACAGAAAAAAATATCAAATAATTTCTGCAACAATCAAAAGTTATTAAATATGAAGGTTCAAATCCAAACTGCATGAATACATTCAAACTTCAGATGGTATCATCAACATTAGTACATAATATAACCAGAAGTCTCTGTCGAGACTGAAGCTCTACTGGTTTGTACTTATAGCAAAGGAAGAGAAAAGTACTTAAGCAGTTGGAAATTGAAACTTTTCAAAAGCAATAAATAGAATAATGATCCTTGATTAAGTCTCTATATGTTCTTAGTGCAGTCTACTTGCATGCCACATCTATATTATAATCAGACTAAAATTGTATTTGGAGTAGCATTTTGAAAGAATTTCACAGAAATTTCTATTTTTAGTAACCACGGCAACAACGTTCATCGAAATCAAAAACCGATACACAGAATTATGTATCTTATTGTAGATTACTTGTGTGCCAAGTTATACTGAAATCAGACTAAAACTGTAGAAGGAGTAGCATTTTGAAAGAATTTCACAGAAATTTCTATTTTTAGTAACCACGGCAACACTGTTCATCGAAATCAAAAACCGATATACAGAATTGTGTATCTTAGTGTAGTCTACTTGTGTGCCAAGTTATATTGAAATCAGACTGAAACTGTAGGAGGAGTAGCATTTTGAAAGAATTTCACAGAAATTTCTATTTTTAGTAACCACGGCAACACCATTCATCGAAATCAAAAACCGATACACAGAATTGTGTATCTTAGTGTAGTCTACTTGTGTGCCAAGTTATATTGAAATCAGACTAAAACTGTTGGAGGAGTAGCATTTTGAAAGAATTTCACAGAAATTTCTATTTTTAGTAACCACGGCAACACCGTTCATCAAAATCAAAAACCGATACAAAGAATTCTGTATCTTAGTGTAGTCTACTTGTGTGCCAAGTTATATTGAAATCAGACTAAAACTGTAGAAGGAATAGCATTTTGAAAGAATTTCACAGAAATTTCTATTTTTAGTAACCACGGCAACACCGTTCATCGAAATCAAAAACCGATAAACAGAATTGTGTATCTTAGTGTAGTCTACTAGTGTGCCAAGTTATACTGAAATCAGACTAAAACTGTTGGAGGAGTAGCATTTTGAAAGAATTTCACAGAAATTTCTATTTTTAGTAACCACGGCAACACCGTTCATCGAAATCAAAAACCGATATATAGAATTATGTATCTTAGTGTAGTCTAGTTGTGTGCCAAGTTATATTGAAATCAGACTAAAACTGTAGGAGGAGTAGCATTTTGAAAGAATTTCACAGAAATTTCTATTTTTAGTAACCACGGCAACACCGTTCATCGAAATCAAAAACCGATACACAGAATTATGTATCTTAGTGTAGTCTACTTGTGTGCCAAGTTATATTGAAATCAGACCAAAACTGTAGGAGGAGTAGCATTTTGAAAAATTGTTTATAGACGGACAGACAGCTAGACAGACAGACGGACGGATGACGGACGCATTACTATCGCATAAGCTCTTCTGGTCTCTGACCAGTAGAGCTAAAAATATTTTTTCTGATTTGATATTTGATATTTGAGGATGGAAGAAAATTTAAAGCAATCAATTATTAATCAATTACATTGTCTAAAGTAATTAATTACAATCGATTACAGGACAAAACTGACTGTAATCGATTATTAATCGATTACACAAAATTCCTCTAAGTAATGGATTATTAATCGATTACATTTTTAAGTAATCGTGCCCATGTCTGTTATGTATACATTGCATATGAAACAAAGTCAATTACTTTTCATTTCATATATTTTTTTGTCAGTAAACAAACATTAGATGCTGTTATACAACAGTTATATCCACTCAGAAGTGTTTGCCTTCAAATGTTTTCTCACAATCTACCTGTGGTTAATGGAGAACCCACATCAGTTATTCTACAGTGAAATTTATTGAATCCATATGTTAAACATTCTGAAATTTGCTCGATAATGTAGTCTTTCAGTCCCTTTAATAATTCATTCAAAGTAATTCCTAAAATTAAAGTCCATAATGAAAGTATATCATATTTTCAGCTTTTCTGGCCCAGTAGTTTTAGAGAAGATTTTCAAAGATTTTCCCAAAATATATTTCAATGTAAAACTTAAATTCCCTACTGTGGCTCCCCCTACCCCTGGGGGTCATTATTTGAACAGTTTGAGATCTACACCGCTACAGGGCGATTCCACATAAGTTTAAGATTTTCTGGCCCAGAGTTTCTTGAGAAGAAGTTGAAAATGTGAAAAGTTTACAGATGGGCAGACAGACAGACAAATAGTGAGTGACCAGAAAATCTCACTTGAGCTGTCAGATGAACTAAAAATGTACCTACTTGCCCTTGTATATTTTAAATGTTCAAAGAGTGGGGATGGGCCAAAATTCAGTGGGAATTGGATGTAAAAATGGTACCACTACTCAAAATAAAGATATATTTCTTCCAAACTAGAAAACTGACCAGTCAGCAAGGGCCCCGCCATGCGGTAGAATTATAAGGGTGCAGCTTATGAAATGATTAAAAACAAACAGCAGTTGCAGACAAAGGTTTTCATTAATCTTAAAAAGACAGATAAAGGTAAGCCTTCTAAATTTTCTGCAGCAGGCCAGATAATTAATCCCAAGGGATTAATTGTACTTCTCTCTCATCATTTTATTCTTAATTTATAATAAGAACTTTTTCAGTAATGATAGAATGAGGTTTTTATCCTACTGCCTTAAAAATTAAAAATATTCTTGAATTTTCATGAAGCCAAAAAAAAAAAAAAAAAAAAAAAAAAAAATAAAAAAAAAAATAAATAAATAAATAAATGAATAAATAAAGTAGGGTATTTCAACAAAAATAAAGTAAAAACATTTATACTTCAATCAACATTTCAGAGTGTTCATAGCATTCCAAATGGACTTAACTTCAAAACAAATTTCATTTGCAGACAGAGGTGGTAATTAATCTCAATGTGACAGATAAAGATAATGCTTTGGATTTTCTTCAGGAGGAAAGCTAATTAATCCCAAGGGACTCATTCATTGCAGTATTCAGTTTACAATGGGAACATTTTCAGAAGTTATCTCTCTTTGCCAATTCATTCTTATATAAAGTTAAGGAATCTACCCCACCACCCAGCTCCAAACCAGAGGACATAGAAAACAAACTTAGCATCAAAATATGTCTTTTTGCCTACTGAACTACCATACCAAATTTGAACTTAATTGGACTACAATAAAAAAAGTTATTAGGAAAAAACAGAAAATTTGTGAATGGAAGAATGACAGACGGACAGACAGACGGACAGACAGACAGACAGAGTGATTACTATAAGGCACCCGTGTGGCAACGCACTTTGAAAAAATTACGCACTTTGAAAAAATTTTTCAAAGTGCGTTAAAATTGGGACAAAATCAACGCACTTTGAAAAAATTTTTCAAAGTGCGTTAAATTTTGGACCAACTCAACGCACTTTGAAAAAATTTTTCAAAGTGCGTTAAGAGTCTACATCAATATATTTAACCATGGATACACTTAACGCACTTTGAAAAAAAATACCATATTTTAGTCATGGAAAGATTTTATTTATTATTTTCTTTCAAAAAACTAAGCCTAACCCTAACCTCAAAAATGAATTGATTTACTCCCGTCGGAAAGAGGAGAAGACGGGCATAAGATCCCTAAGTCCAAATCTTTATCTTTCCAATACATAGGTGTCGGTAACAAACGGGGGAGGAGAGCAATAAACCTAAAAAGGGTACGCTGCATTTTCAATGCTTATACGATGTATATATATTTTCAAAATAAGTGGGGGGGGGGGAGGGGGCTAAGCCCCCCATCCCCTCTCATGGCCCATCGCCCAGTCTCGATGCCTATGCTATACTCAAAGCATTCATATAATTATGTTTATACCTAACTGGTATGACGTTAAAAGCTTTCAATATTAAATGAGTTAATTAAAACAGATGAATACTAGAAATTTTTAAGTACAGTAAAACTTATGAGAGAGAAAGAATTTTCATAGCTTTCAACAAATCAAATTGGCCCCTTTTTATTATGATAAATGCTAAGTTGCTTGAAGCTGTCCTCTGTTAGTGCCCCCTATACACCTGTACATCTACTTATTAAAGACTAG